AAAGCATTTTAGTTCATGACTCAAACTCAAAGAACCTTTACCTTCGGCACATCTTGTCCTGTTTCTTCCTAAACTGAAAAACATCCATCTTAGGAATATCACAGGAAGTTACCATATTTCAGGCCTTTTCAGAGAAAAAGATTTTACTTTGATTTTTTAAAATTCGAATCCTTCATTTCTGCACCTCTACCACTGCAGTATACAGCTACCTCAAAGTCACTGATTATCGTATACTTACATATACTATACATACTTGTGCAAATGGAAGAAGATGCAACCAAACGTTGCAGACTTCATTATTAACTTTTTAGCATTTTGTTTGTTGGGTTCTCATGTATATTTTTTAAAGTTAGTTCTAAATTAGTGAGGTTAATATCCATAATTCACAGTATTGTAGCAAATTAGTCCTAATATTTAAATTATTGAGGTTAATCACCATAATTAAATAATACTGTCGTGTCTTAGCCTTAATATTTTTTATAGTCATTATTTATATTTAATTACTCAGTTAAATCCACACCAAAAATAAGACTGTAGGGTTTTAAGCTCAATATTCCAAACTCGTTAAGTTGATTCACAGCACCATTCTTACTTTTCTACCAGAAGCACTTTGGCTCCCTCCCAGTTGTTTTAAATGTGCTGTATAAATAAGACTCACTTGACTGTACGTTGCTATTGGTGAATATAGTAAATGTTATATTGCTGTCTATGAGATTGTCACCTTGTGTATTTTTCTTTCTTTTGAAATGTAATTAAAACTTAATATTTTGCCATGTTGTTGTTGTTGTTTTCTGCCATTTTAATTTTAAATGTTCTTTATGTATAAAGTTTAAAAACAGACCGTCCAATCAGCGCCATCTGTCGTGTTCAGGGCGGGTCTTACGGCTTTGTTCACTTCCTGCTGTTCAATAAAGTTTGTCTTTCTACTACACTCGTAGTACAAACATGGGGGCCGTAACAGATGGTAAGCTACCGTTTAATTCATTGATTATGGCTCTCCGATAAAAAACTACGGCTATCAATGTTTGTTTTAGCGCTAAAAGTATCAATATATGCCCGGCCATACTGTAAAAATGAACCAATTTTGTGCCTAAACGCCGCTTCTTTTCTAATATACAGTAGCCATGTTAGCTAGCTTCTGGTTAGCTCAGCTGTTCACCTGATGTGTCAGGAGGGCTGTTCAGTTCTTTGTTTTGTCTTTTATTTCAGACGAAGTTATACGGAAACGTCTTCTTATTGACGGTGACGGAGCTGGAGATGACCGAAAAATCAACGTGCTGTTAAAGAGTTTCACCAAATGGTGCAACTCGCCTGCGACCCCGGAGGAAGGGTAAGTGGACTCCGCAGACCCCCAGCCGTGGACTGGAGTATTTTTTAGAATATTGCTTGGAAAGCCTTACATTGAGTCACAACCATTATTGTAATTGTGTTTAGATTTACGCAGTATCAGAGGATGTTGGGCACGCTGGCTCAGTGTGAATTTTCCATGGGGAAGACGTTGATGGTTTACGACATGAATCTTCGAGAAATGGAGAATTATGAGAAAATTTACACGAACATAGGTAGGTTCTGACTCTGGCATTTATTATGAACACATGTTGACCACTCACATGTTGTATAATTCATTAGATAAATGAATAGTCAGTCTTGTATTTCATACTTTATCCAACATTGCAGAGCAAAACATCACGTCTGCACATGAGAAGATAGCAGAATGCAAAAAAGAAATTCAGAGGGCAAAGAGGATACGAAAGAATCGCCAAGGTAAGAATGTTTTCACCTTAGACAGTTATTGTATTCACAGGGGTGTTATCAAATATTTATCATCTAATTTGTTTTTTGTTTTTTTTTTTCAATAGAGAGCATCATCTTTCAGGATCCCAATGTAATATTTAATTACTAGTAATTTTTAGGTAATTAGTCAGGTTAATCTGGATAAGTAGAGTTGTAACTGTAATATTTCATTTAGTTATGTAAACTTTTATTTTTTTTTTATGTTTTTTTGCCTTTATATTTTATTTTGTCAAGTTAAGAATCTTTGTTGTCATTATGCAGTTTGTTTTCACCAGTCACATAACAACATTTTGTTGGTAATACCGGCTTAAAAGTCAACATTAAATGGACAATAAAACATATAGTGCATTTAAAAAAATAGTAAAAATATATTAGAAGTGAGAAAAAATATATATACAGCAGACTGATTAAAGTGCAGCAGTGCAAGGTGCAGTGTCAGTTCCATGTCGTCTAGTTGTTGGTCAGTTAAATTTGCACAATTAACAGTTTTGTTGTGTGTGACCCGTAATTATTATTATTTTTAATCCAGTGAATTTGTATTTCAAATATTACTGTCAAGGTCTTAATCTTAATATTCAGCCTTGTTTGGTAGATGTGTAACGTCATCTCATTCCTCTACTGGAAAGCACTTTGGCTATATAAATAATGTTGAAGTAACTTGATTTTACTATTTACCATGGCTGTCACTTCTGCGTATCCTGTTTTGCATGGTCTGTCGAAACACTGTGTTGAAAAGTCCTATACAAATAAAATTATTATCGTAAGAGGACTACTGCTGCTATTTTTTGTGTACCCTTAGCATTTTGTTTAACATATACGTCATCATATCATCCAAAAACAGTAATGGTCATTAAAAAATGATGTATAAATATTTATTTCCACACTGAGTCCTTCTCCTCCTTTCCTTCCAGAGTACGATGCTTTAGCTAAAGTTATCCAGCAACACCCAGACCGGCATGAAACACTGAAGTAAGTCAGCGTGTGTCTTCTGTTTCATCCAAGTATTGATTATTGTGCTCCTGCTTAATGCGTAAGGGCAGGTTTTCATGTTAATTAGATTATGTGCTCAACTTTTCTTTGTTCTTTTACAGGCAGTTGGAGGCTCTTGACAAAGAACTCCAGCAACTCTCTCACATCAAGGAGAATGTGGATGCAAAGGTAAAACCCAATGCATATATTGATCATGTCGTCTGTTCTAAACTCTTGATTTTTTTCCAACACTATTGACATTATTCTTTCCCTTTTGTCCCACTTAGTTGGAGTTAAGGAAGAAACAATTCCATGTGCTACTCAGTACCATACAGGAGCTGCAGCAGACCCTTGAGAGTGAGTACTTTTTATTATCAATATCTGTTGAGCTATAGAGCAAACCAATCTGTAAACTTTAGGGAAAAGTAGTAAGGGTCCACGAATAATCAGCCTGGCCAATTACTGGATCCGACGTTCAGCATTTTTCCAATTATGTGTGTATAAATGCATATATACAGTGCTGTGAAAATGTCTTTACCCCACTACAGATAACATCTATTTTTGCATATTTGTCACATCCAAATGTAA